GATTATGTTCCACCGTTGTCTTATATCAACAATGACATTAATTGTGTGAGAATTTGGGAAAATTATGTGTGTATTAACCACTATGTACACGTATATAAAGATAAAAGATTGGTTTCATGTAGGTTGGGTCTTAATTTGACTCTACAATACATAATACAATAACAATATAACTAACACCTACTCTCAAACTCGAAGTGGTATACTGGAGATCAACTTGAGCTTGATAAGAAAGTAAACAAAAGCGATCGGAAAGGAGATACTGCGTGAAGACATTCGTTGTTTGATCCGTAAAGGAGACCGAAACAAGCTTCGCAGTTCCATGTGCAATATGTTGTCGAATGAAGTGGCAACCAATCTCAATATGCATGGTGCGCTCATGAAATGTATCATTATGAGATATTTTCTATAGCACTCTGAATATCATAATGTACATCAGTAAATGACGACTGAGGTGCACCGAGATCAGCAAGTAGCCAACTTAACCATAATAGCTCTGAGGTGGAATCGGCAAGAGCACGGTACTCAAACTCAACGCTCGATCTGGAAACTAGGTTTGCTTCTTACTGCGCAAGGAGACAAGTGAATCACCCTGAAAGAAGTAGTACCCAATAATGGAGCGACGATCAGTAAGATCTCCAACCCAATCTGCATCAGATTAGCCGCTAAAAGCCAAGGGAGAATGGGCTGAGAAGTGTAAACCATGCGATAGAGTGCCCTTCACATAACGAAGGATGTGCAACACAGCAGAATGATGTGTCGTTCTTGGAGCAGCCATAAACTGACTCACAATATGAGCAACATGAGCTAAATCAGACTGAGTGACAGTCAAATAGATCAAACTCCCAACGAGTTGACGATATAATGTAGGATCCTCAAGAAGAGAGTCATCAAGTGAAGTAAGACGAACGTCACAATCAAGAGGTGTGGAAGCTATCTGGCAATTAATGAGACCAGCCCGAGCAAGAAGGTCAGAGGCATACTTGGTCTGAGACAAATAAAAACCATCAGAGGAGTCAGAGATCTCAAGACTTACAAAATAGAGAAGTTCACCCAAACTCTTCATCTCAAAATGCTGACAATGATAGTCGTGTAAATTTGTAATACCGGAAACATCATTTCCCGTGATGATCACATTGTCAACATAGAGCAACAAAGTAATGATCCCAGATGAGGAGCGCCGAAGAAACAAAGCAGAATCGTGATTACTTGTAGTGAATCCAAAGTAAAACAATGCAGAACTGAATGTACATACTGAGCACGTGTTGTTTGTTTCAAACCATACAACGCTCGAACAACCCCACACTCAGGCGCAGAGCCATCAAAATCTAAATAAGATCAAGACGGTTCTAACTAATCTCAGCCTATCGGAGACGATATCAGATAGGTTGTACTTGTGCAAGAAACTAATTAACCGATTGACTCGGTTGCTGGATGGTGGAATGCAAGGTGCTCCAAAGCTGATAATAGTGAGCCAGGCCCCTAGTCCGAAATCGAGCTGTCAAAAAATCCTAAGTCTCCTTCGCACCATCAAACAGGGCAAGTTGCACTTAAATAGCAGAAACTGAAGTGTTACATAGCTAATTAAGAATTTGATGGTTCTTACTATCCCTGTCCTCCAACTAATCGTTGTATGTCATAAGAGCCTGTGGGGTGGGGTTGGTATCCCGAATATGAGACAGATGCACGTGTGACAATACATCACCAGTCACAATTCTCTACAATTTTTTCCCAATTAAAAAGTTTTTTATAGACTGTGGCAAAAGACTATAATTATCCCCTGATAAAACAACACTAATAGGAAAATACACATCCATACAATCTATATCCAAGAACAAATCAACACAATATCACGAAACAAATGAAAACAAAGTATGAATCGGATCACGAATCAGTCAACAAATTAGTACGAGAAGAAAATAAAAGGCCACAGATACAAAAACTGATCAGACCAAAATGTAGCCAACGATCACAGGAGTCAACGGCTGGAAAATGGCGGCAATCGGAGAAGAGGTTGGGCCTCACGCGCGATTGAAGCTACCGGCGTTGTCGCAGAGATGAGGCGCGTGTGAGCCCCACACGCAGATGACTGGTCTGAGTTTTTCAGTGAAGGCTCACCGCAGGATGCCGAAGAGAATGGTCGGGGTAGTGAGAGTCAACAATGGTTGAAGACGAACAACGAAATACCATGCCTACATCTGACTCTAACCCTAGTCTGATATCATGTAAGAACTACGGAAATTTAAGTGTTGTATTAACTACAAAACTATGTACAAGTACATAAAGACAAAAAATGAGTCTCCCTTATATTGAGCCGTAATCTAATCCTACAATCAGTGTTTTGTGACCCGGACCGGCCCGGCGGGTCGACCCGGGACCCGGTCGACCCGGAGCCGGAACCGGTCCGGGTGGGTTAATTAGACCGGGCAACAACGGACCCGGTCAAACCCGGTCAAAACCCGGTCGACCCGGCCTTGACCCGGTCGACCCGGGACAATGACCCGGCTGGGTCAACCCGGTTGACCCGGTCTATATGTATTTTTTTTATTTTTTTTTTGTTTTTAAATTTTCTTTTTCTTTTTAAAAAATAAAATTATGTATATATATTTATATAATAAATATATACATATTATTACCACTTTAATCTACAAATTTTACATACAAAATATTTAAATTTGTTATTTTTATGTATATTTATATATCACAAAATACTCTATATATAATTTTATAAATTTTAAAATTAATTATCCGGTTCACCAATTGACCCGATGACCCGGCGGTTGAACCGATGACCCGGTGACCCAAAGACCTGCCCGAGTCAATTACCGGGCCGGGTTTAAAAACTATGCCTACAATACATAATACAATATAACTAACAAATTCAATAGTCTTTGGTTCCTTAGAATCACAACACAACACGTTGCCGATGAAGAAGAAAATGGATAAACAAATAAATAAATATATTATATGATAAAAGGCCGGGAAGATAATTTCTCCCGGCGAAAAGATAAATAAGTTTCGTTACAAGAATTCAGCATTAATATTGTGAATCATCAACATAAAAAAAAAAAAAAATAAAAAAAAATAATTGAAGAATGGTTACAAATATTTGATTAATTTTAGGAGGATTGTACATAAAAATGTTTCACATAGAATGAAATTTGGCCGATAAATCGTATTAAGTGCTTGAGCCCGTCGAGGTTGCAGGCCCGGCTTCTGTTTCCATTGATGTCTGAGGCGCACCTGCTTCATAAAAAAAATAAATATATACATAAAACTAAAAATAAAAATAAATAGCATATTCATCTGATGGTGTTGATAAGAAAAAATAGAATTACAAGTTTAGTATTTCAGTCATTTAGATTAATTTTTAGGAGTTTTATGAATACAAGGCCCGAAAATGGGTAAACTATCAATGCGGGGTCTGAAAGATTTTTTTCTTCATTCGGGACTTAAATGTTATAAAACTATCAAATTAAAGACCCGAAAGATGGGTAAACGATCAATGCGGCGCCTAAAAGATTTTTTTTTCTCAATTCGGGACTTAAATATTATAAAACTATCAAATTAAGTCTAGAATTAACAAAACTCATAACACCATTAAATTTAGAGTTAAAAAAAAAAAAATTGTGTTTAAATATAAAAAAAAAATATATATAATATTTAATATTACATTTTATTTTCATATTCATTCACATTTTTAAACTATCAATGCATATGAATGAAATTTCAATAAGCATAATAGTCAATTTAAATATAAAAATCATATTAAATATTTACTTAATATAATTACTTGTTTTATTCTTTTTCATAACAAACACAGATATTTATGAGGACAATATATTATAAACACTCAAGAGTAGAACTGGCTATAAATTATGTAAAAATATTTGAATGAAAAATGAGTTAAAGAGTAAAAAAATTGATGGAAGAATGCAAAATTTTAAAAAATGTGAATGAATATGAAAATAAAATGTAATAATTAAATTTTTTTTTTAAAACTCTAGATTTAATGGTGTTATGAGTTTTTTTAATTCTAAATTTAATTTGATAGTTTTATAACATTTAAGTCCCGAATTGAGAAAAAAAATCTTTCAGTCCCCGCATTGATAGTTTACCCATCTTTCGGGTCTTTAATTTGATAGTTTTATAACATTGAAGTCCCGAATTGAGAAAAAAAAACCTTTCAGGCCCCGCATTGATAGTTTACCCATCTTTCGAGCCTTGTATTGATAAAACTCCTAATTTATTTTACTCGTTACAATGCACTACTAGAATTTGGTGATGATCAGTAAAAAATTTGCAACGGAATAGTATTTGTGTCATAATTACGGTATCAATAATATATTTTTGCAACAAATTTAAAAAGGTGTCATAGTTATGAGTTTCTACAAAGGAATATAATTTAGATTTATTATGAAACGACATTTTCTTTATTTAGACTATCCGTAGCATGCTTCGAGAACTCAACCTCCCTAACTCAAAATTTCCTTTAGGATCGAGAACGAAATAGTGTTTCTTTCCTACTGTTGTGGTAATCATTCGAATTTGAAATAAAAATCGTCGTCTACGAAATGACGATAATCTGGTCACTATATTAATTCTTTATTTCGAAGTCATTATTTAGGTAATTAGTTATTTTTTCTTTTATGATCGGTTCGTAAGTTGCTTGAAAATAAAAACAATCATGTCTATTATTATTATTATTATTTTGTGCTTGAAAATAAAAACAATCATGCATATTATCATTATTTTGTGCTTGAAAATAAAAACAATCAATGTCTATTATTATTATTATTATTCTTTTGTTGGGTGTTCTAATAAAGGTGTGTTTTTGAAATTATATATATTATCTTAGGAACAAACTTGCAAAGTATGTAATTGTAAGTTAAAACACGTGTAGAAAAATTCGAAAATAAATGAAATAAATAGAAATATATGGATGCATTTAATAAAATCTAGAACAATGTATTATCTTTATTAAGATTTATTTCATACAATAGATATACACATGATCGATACAATGATTGCTATATATACATTATTATATATATATATATATATATATATATATATATATATATTATCTCGCTACACTAACCATAAAAGTTACTGTTTATTAAAAATATATAGAAATTGTAATTTAAAACAATATAAAAAACACGTTATAATCATAGTTAAGACGTGTATTTTTTTAATTATAAAGAAGGGTAAAATATCAATTTCAACTCGACGATAAAAGGTAGTGTTGTGCCGATTCTTAACAACCCTCTCAACCCTCTCAACTCTCTCCACCCTCTCAACCCTCTAACCCTCTCAACTCTAAACTAACTACGATATTGTTAGGAATTTTTTAAATTAATAAATTTGAGAAATTCTTTAATCATCCATCCATACAATTCTTACTAATATAAAACCAGCGGAGTACTAAAACCAGCGGAGTACTACAATTTTTTTTTGTAACAAAAAATTAATAATTTTATGTTAAAATATATAGTGTCTCATAGCGGGTACTAGCATTTTTTTCGTAACACAAAAAATAATAATTTTATGTTAAAATAAGCATCTCAAGTAATAATGATAATGACGGTTAAATGAAGTTTGAGAGCTTTAATAAGCAAAAATAAATTGTATTTTGTTATCTAAAAAAATATAAAAACTCTTAATTTAAAACAACATAAAATAAACATGTTATAATAAGTAATAACTAATCTTCGTTTATTTTCCAAAACAATTTCTTATTTAAAAAAAGTTGAAAATTAATAATTTGTATTTTGTTAATTTTAAAAATATAAAAAACATGTTATATTACAGTTTAGTAATAATTAAAAAAAAGGTAAAGAACGTTTTTAAAACAAATGTATAAATAAAGTCATGTTATACATACTATCTTCCAAATAAAATATAAAAATATTATGTTACAATTGAAAACATGAATTAACAAAATTTGTATTTTACTAATTTTAAAATATAAAAAATGTATTAAGAATAATAAGTCGTAGTATTTTCTTTAAAACATAAAAAATATATTGCACTCATATATCATCACTAGACAATAATGCTCAC